ATCTTCAACTTAATCGATCAAATCTCCCTCTTAATTGATTTAATCGATTAAAACTTATATTTAATCGATTAAATATTCCAAATAAACGTGAAAGCATTGATTGAATGAGATAAACACGGTATCGGAGGTTATTTGAATTTAATGTAATAGGAGTTAATTGCGATTTGCATTTAATAGGAGCTGATTGCCTCCTGTTAAATACAAAACGCAATCAGCTCTTATTAAATACAAAATTCAAACGGAAAACTGATTGAATTTGAATTTGAATATAACGTAATAAGAGCTGATTGCGTTTTGTATTTAATAGGGCGCAATTCAAATGGAAAACTGATCTGATTGCGTTTTGAATTTAATAGGAGCTGGAGCTGATTGCGTTTTGTATTTAATAGGACGCAATCAAATAACCTCCAATACCGTGTTTGTCTCATTCAATCAATGCTTTCATGCTCATTCGGGATATTTAATCGGTTAAATATGTTTTAATCGATTAAATCAATTAAGAGGGAGATTTAATCGATTAAGTTGAAGATTGGATTAATTATTTGATAGGTCAAAATATTCTTAAGAATATTGGATTAATTTTTTTGATACTATGCTTGGTTATTTTTTTTAAAAGAAAAATTAATTCATATTTTTCGATCGTCTGGGATTCCTAAAATACCACCCTCTGGATAGTATTCTACGGCTCGTTTGGTGGATAGTATAAGGGTAGGATATGATATGCTGATAAGGGTAGGATATGATATGGGACTGATAAGCCCATATCATGTCATGTGTTTGATGAGCACCTGATTAGCAATATGATAAGATTATGTAGAAGGAGAAAGGAGAAATAAAAAATAAAATATAAAACAATAAATACAAATACATTAGGTAGCGTGGGGATATATTAGGTATCTAATATTGGTATCATATCCTGTTGAATTCTAACCCAGCTCCCCTATAGGATAAGAAATCATGTATTGGATAGGATAAAATGAGACAAGAGGATAAGCTAATCATATCCTATTGACTAGGGGTGTTAACGGGCTGAGCCGAGCCGAACCGAACTTTGGTCTCAAAAGGCTAAGCCTGTATTTAAATGTGTCGGCCTTACCAAGCCTGTTACCTGTTACGAATATAATTATCGGCCTGTGGCCTGCCTTATTTACAAAAAATAAAAGCCTGATTTAGTCTGTTAGCCTGTTTAAAAGAAATAAGACAACAAAAAATTATTCAAACAAAATATACAATCAACAACACTAGTAACTCCATAAATATTCATAAATTTAATGTATATCCTGTTGGGAAATTCGTTCCCTCAAACTCCAATGTCAAGCGGGTCCAGGGAAAGCCCGTGGCGGGGGCCACCACTAGGGGTGTAAATGGGCCAGGCTGGCCCAGCCCAGCCTACGGCCCGGCCTACATTGAGCCCAGCTCAGGCCCGGCCTTTCAGAAAAATAGAGTATGCTTAGGCTTATAAAAAAGCTTTTTTAATAAATAGACCATAGGCCAATTTTGTCAAGCCCGGCCTACAGCCTTGTAGGCTGGCCTATTTAATTTATTAAAATAAAATAATAAAAAAATATTTATTTTATGTGACAAAGACACAAAGTACCAAATACCAATATCTCTTACTTTTTGTGCTATTTTATTTTATGAAAGGAAAACTTGTATAATGTCTCCAAATTTTACATGTTGTTGCAGCTTAATACCATGGAGCAATGGGTACCTTGCTGGATTATGATGTTACTGATGAAGATCTTTCAATAATACTCTTCTTTCCCTTGTCTTGATGGTGGTTTAAAGATTTTTAGATGAATGACATTCTCTTGTAGACTTTATTTCAGCATCCAGTAATTGTATTTTTCTTATTTTTCCCATTTCTTTGACTCTATTCCTCTATGATATAGATTCTAGAACTGAGGTATTATGTTGACTCTTTCTTGTTTGTCATTTTTTTCTTATGAGAAGTACTAGTGCATTCATCAATGGAACTTTCTTTGCTCTATACAATTTTTTTTTTTGCTTAGTATATATAGTGGGAGGCCTACAAGGCCTGTAGGCCATGTAAGGCTTTCTTATTTTTGATAATGGGCCGGGCTTGGCCTACAAATAAAGCCTTTAATAGGCCAGTAGGCCAGATAGGCTGAATTTTTTTTTACGTAGGCTTGGGCCAGGATGGCCAAAGCCCAGCCCAGCCCAGCCCATTTACACCCCTAGCCACCACCAATAAGCTAAGGCTACACCAACCGTAGCAAGTGGATCCGACACCATGTCTCAACCCAAAACCTTAAGGCATTGGGTTCATGGGTCCTTTCACTTATATACTCTTCACTTAGCTCATTACCAACCAATGTGGGACTCATCACACTTGATATCCCAACAATCTCCCCCTCAAGTGTGAAACCCACCATTGGTATGCTCCCCCTCAACCGAGTACCCGAAGCGCAAAGTACTCGACCCGCCTCCTAGCCAATCACTAGGCTAGCTCGAGCCCAATCCGGTTCTGATACCACTGTTGGAAAATTCGTTCCCTCAAACTCCAATGTCAAGCGGGTCCAGGGGAAGCCCGTGGCGGGGGCCACCACCAATAAGCTAAGGCTACACCAACCGTAGCAAGTGGATCCGACACCATGTCTCAACCCAAAACCTTAAGGCATTGGGTTCATGGGTCCTTTCACTTATATACTCTTCATTTAGCTCATTACCAACCAATGTGGGACTCATCACACTTGATATCCCAACATATCCAAACAGCATAATATAGAAAAAAATCATTCAAAAAGTCTATTTAACTAATAAATATGGGTGAAATGGATTGAGGAGAGAGAGAGCACTATTACAAATAGTATAAAAATATAAATAAAAATAAAAATTAATATACTAGGCCAGCCTGAGAGGCTTCAAGGCAGAGCTTTTGAATTCGAGCCTGATGCCTTTTTATTAAACGAGCTTTTATACGAGTTCAAGTCTGGTTCCAACAACCAATATTAGGCATGTAAGCTCAGGTCTTCATGAGTATTAAATACGGATGACAGAGAATCGAAAATGATAGACAATAACGGAGCTTGCAAACATGGCGAACGTTGTTCCAGAGTTCACACTAAGCCCACTATTAGCCCCGCTCTTGTTCTCTCCCACATGTACCAAAGACCCGACATGAACATGAACATAAACAAGGGAGATCTAAATTTTTATATGGTTTTTACAAGTTTATCTGTTGCAATGGGAAGCCAACAACAGGAACAATTTTTTTTATGGTTTTTGCTCCATTTTCAGACATTGTTTTTTGCTCCATTTCCTCCATCTGGTTGTTTTTTGCTGTAAACCCAAAAAGAAAAAAGAAAGCATCAATAATGGATTCTTCGTCCGGATTTGTTTTTTTGTTGAATGTTGATTCTGTTTTGTGGATCGATTTTGTTTTCTGGATCTATAGAATTTTGTTGGTGGAATGAAAATGATGATCAATAGTAAATTTAAAAGGCAAGGATAGTTTTGTAAAATAACCCAACATTTCCAATAATATTTCTCGATTAACCGAACACAGACTTATTAAACTTAACCAAATAATTCCGGTAATATTTTTGCATACCAAACAACTTTCTAATAACATTTTCGGGTACTCCATTTTCTCATCGTATTCTTGGAAATCATAATTCTCAGACACCAAAGAATTTCTCTTCTACCAAATGCCCCTGAATGTCATAGCTCTAGGTTCGGATTCTTTCTCGAGAATTTAAACCTTTTGGGTAAAAAATTCCTTTTATTAGCAATTTGCTCCCTGAATATTAGAGAATATTGAGGGAAGAACTGCAATGACAGAGTTGAAAATTGATAATCAAATTAATTAAAAATTGAAAACAAAACAAAATAGTATATATTTTAATTGGATTGAATTAACTTTTTATTTAATTGGTGAAAATCAATTCATTTTCATTATTTTAACACGTGAATTAGTAATCATTGATTAATTATTTGTGAATGATGAATTAATAAAAACTTAAAAGTCACTAATACTATTCCATTAAAAAAAAACACACACACAAACTAAAAACACACATCTCTCAAATCTCAATGCAAATACAATTGTCCATCCACATCCACGGTTGGCAAGTACCGTACTCAGCGTAATGACATTTTCACATCTCTCTCAAATAACAAACACAATGTCGTCACCATTGCATGCTATTACCAAAAATGATCTCGTGCTCATATTTGTCATTGCTTGGTCCTAGAGACTGAAGTTCTATTCTATATGATATTATATGGTATGGATATCTTAAAGATGGATATTCTTATTGGCTTATAGCCAATATTCTAATTATTGTGCACAAACAATAGGCTTATAGTCAAGATTTGCGTGTAGACACAGTGTTAGTAGTAATAATAAATAGGTCAAAAGTGTGTACTTGAAATTTTTAGCTTTTGTTTATAAAGGTACATCTTGGATTTGGGCTGTATAGATCTCAGTTAATATAAGATCTAACCTCTTATTTATAGGAACAAGAATTTTATCTCCTTATCTTTATCTTTTCATCCTGTTAAGATATATTCCGTAACAGTAGTATTTGCGATTTTTTGGAGGAGCTAGATGTGGAACTTTGTGTTACAAGGGAAACAAACTAGGAAAATATTATATTTATAAAAATAAATATGTTATATTTACAAACTTTTTATTTACAAACTACACTATTCTGACCGGTCATATTTCAACAAAAAATGTATGATTGGTCATACTCAGTAAAAGTTTGTAAACGGATCTTTCTTTATTTATAAAATTTTTATTTATAAACTCTTAATAAAAAAAAAATTGGTAGATTAAACTCTTATAAATTTATTTATGTATTTTGGGGAATTTGTATTCTTCAAAATACAAATATTTGTTTGTTTGGGATTTATAATTATTGTTATTATTAATTTATTATTAGTTATGTGATAATCACAAACACCAAACGCATTGAAATAACCCTTAACAGTGATCCAAATACAACATTAGAGGCAAGGAAATGGATGAGTATGTGAAAATCTTGTCGTTATCTGTTTGACTGTAAATATCAAATAGACGAGAATTTATAAATAAAGAGAGAGTTTCAAATTAGAAGAGAATAGAAGCTTGATGATAGAAGCACAAGACCAGACAAGACAGTAAGGAATAGGATTCGGTTGAATCTGGTTGCTATGCCTGTTGCACCTGCTGCTGTTATCGTCCCATTGGGTCTCCTCTTCTTCACTTCTGGCCTCATCGTTAACCTCATTCAGGTTTTCATTTCCCTATTTTTGTCCTCTTTCTTTTTTTTTTTAATAATAAATATAAATACTTACCAACGTTTGATGATTTATAAATTAAATGGAATCATCATCATCAGCATCACCTTTCTCATATCCCAATAAAATCTTTTTTTTTTCTTTCTGTTATTATTTTGGATTTAGATTCGTCCCTTAGTGCTTTAAATTGTAACCTTCATCAATAAACGCCTTTGGCTTTATATAAACAAAGAGTAGTTGTTGACTTCTTCTTGTTTCGTTTTTGATTGCTTAGTATTTGGGGGAAAAAATAAAATAAAATAAATAAAAAAGTGCTAATTGAGGGAATTTATTTTATGGTGCGTAGTGTGAAAGGATTGTTTAATTAATTCATATAAGGGAACATTTGGTTGAAATTGGTGTTGGGTTAAGTCCTCAGGGTAAGTGAAATGAAGTGTGAAGTATGAAGTGAAAAAAAAGGGGAGGGTAAGGAAGATCTTTGAGTTACTTCAGTTAATGAATTTGACACCTTTGATTTCTCTTGTTTCAGGCAATATGCTATGTTATTGTACGGCCAGTGTCGAAGAATTTGTACAGAAGGATCAACAGGGTAGTAGCAGAATTGCTATGGCTGGAACTTGTATGGCTCATTGATTGGTGGGCTGGGGTTAAGGTGTTTTACTGGTTCCCTTTTCTCTCTGATGGTTTTTCTTTTCTTTTTGTTTATTTATTTATATGATAGGTGTTAGATATAATAATAATAATAATAATAATAATAAAATAAAAAAGTAAAAACTATTCATGCGTTCTCACCCAATACTTTAAGCTTTTAGGAGAGTGGTTTGTCACACAAGATAAGATTGCCTATTATAGACTCATACAATGGACTTTGCCCATAGCAGGAGCTTTATAGCACTATGCTGCTCTTGTCATCTACGAATATAGTTGATTGTTCACTATTGCAGAGTCTTATTTAGCTTTTTTGCTCTTTGCTTGTTATTCTAGATGATTTGGCATGGATTTCTAAATTATAATTGACATGCATTTACTTGCTATGAACAACCTGTAATGAGCCAATGATCTTTGGGCCTGATCATCAGCTCTACCTTCGTCTAAGAAAGAGGGGATGGTTAGATTGGATATGGCTACCGTGTGCATGTGTCACTTACAAGAAGCAATGTGTTATGGCTTCTGGCTAAATTCAAGAAATAATAGGTGAAAGTCTAGGCATTTATATTATGGTGTAAATTAGTTCCGAATATTTGACTATAAGTTGTTTAATTGGGAAATAAACCTGGTTTCTTTGTTTCCACGGAAATCAAAAGTCAAATTTTGATGTTGACTTGTATATATGGAGTTCCAACTGATTAAGGCTGCTCTAGCAGGTACTTGTTTTTTATGTAAGGAATCTAATTGAGCTGAGGGAACATAACTGCTACTTTTCCATGATTTCAGCAGCAACAATGACCAGAATGGCAGAATTAGAAATTATGAACTTTTTTTTCTAGAATCACATATTCCTACATTGCACAAGAGCTTGAAAATTTTGCAGTGGAATGTTTAGTTCATAGTTTTGAACATCGACAATGTGGGGTCTCTTGTTCACTAATTTGAGGGATATTGGCCTTAAAATTGGGGGGAAGATCCTATGGTGATGTGCTACTTGTATAATGCTATGATCCATTTGGTTTGAAACAAGGATTTGCTATCTTTCTTATTTTTTCACTTACCTTTCCCCTTCTTGTGTTAAAATTTTCTCTTTGTCTACTTCCATTAGCCACGAAACAACTATGAAAAGAGATTTGAGAGAGACTGGATATTACTACTTGTAAGCTATGATCTACGAATAATGCTTTTCTTTGATTATGTGACTCAAGGGAAATTAGAAAGATTATGCCATTTGGATGATTCTTTTATGAGAGCTCCTTTTGTAGTCAGCTTCCTTTAAAAGATGCTATTTGTTTAGGTAGTTCGTTTGCTGTTAACCATGACATTAGGAATTCAAGGGAAATTCTATTCTTTTATTATCTCTTCTCTTCTGTTGTTTAATACTTTTGATAGCCCTGCCTAATTGTTCTTATCTTGTTATTTCTAACTACTTTGAAGCATCTTGCAATCATGAAAATTTGATGTTTTCTAAGAAGGAAAATTAATTATTTGAAAGACATCATTTACAAACTTTACTGCAATTTTATAATTTTTCTTGTTGCTTTTGGAATAATCAATTCTTTTAATTGGAACTTTCTGGTTTCAGATCCAAGTATTCACAGATCATGAAACCTGTCGTTTGATGGGTAAGTCTCTTGTACGATGCATTTGGTGCTAGGTTTTTTTGCCCCTTTTAATTCTCTTTGTTCTTGTGTTGTCAATGCGTGTTTGTGTTTTGGAAAGGAAAAGAGTGTATTTTTGGGGCCAAGTTTTTTCTGCATCTAAATCATCAGATTGGATCTAGAATTTTCCAGGCAAAGAGCATGCGCTTGTCATATCCAATCACAGAAGTGATATTGATTGGCTTGTTGGATGGGTTTTAGCTCAGGTGATTGTCTTATTTGGTATGACGTTTTCCACATCTTCAATGCAAGCAAATTAACACAAATTCACATATGTATTAGCATGAGTAGTTTATTTCGTTTGATATTTTGGATTGTTTTGATTTGATATTATCATACATGGACATAGGAATGCATATGCCTACTTAGACATTCGTGCTATTTTGTAATAAGTATGCTATTCTTTGATTTGATATTGTGTTTATGTGATTCATCTGGTTTGTGCTTCAAGTACTAATTAATTATAGAACACTATTATTATTCAACAGCGTGCAGGTTGCCTTGGCAGTTCCCTTGCTGTGATGAAGAAATCATCAAAGTTTCTGCCGGTATGCTTTGTTTCTACATATGATTGTGAAATAAAAAGATGGAATGTCGCTTGTTATGCAAACTTTATGGTTTAGTTGTTTGGTGATGGGTGTCAAGCATAATGTGCATTGATTATGGAGTATGGATTAGGAAATGTAGGGATGTTTGTTTACATAAATTGATCATTAATGGGATGATCTCTTGGCTGGTTAGGTTTATCGCATGACCCATGTCTGCTTAAGGTCTGATCAGACATGGAAGTTTTTGAACCTGCTTTACTTCAATTTTTTATTGGCTCCCTGTTTAGCTTAATTTATTGGGATACCGAAGGTGGAGCCCATAACCTGTATCACTTAGCACTAAAATGCAAGGCTGTCCACTTGCTTCGTGCTTGTGGTCATTTGGTCAAAGTTCTAAGTTGAAATGTTAATATTAAAATGTCCAGATAACATGCCTTGTGGACCAAATATTTCTCTAATGGGCTTGTTGGTAGCTGTTAATTGACTATGATATGTTTCTTGTGAATGGTCACACGCTTGGCAGGACTGGACCGGTTTTTAAATTCTGGATTGAGTTTAATATAGATTTAGCCCTTTTCTAATATGTGCTTAGAATTCTGGCGCCAAATTTGAAAATTTCTATATATTATGCTTTTATATATGTATTATATTGCATTGCATAGTAAAATTACAAAAGATAATTAATGAGATCAAAGAAATACAAACGTGTATTACTGAAATACTTATAAACAGTACAAGGAATTAATGCAACTGGAACAATTATGGCAGAAAGTTACAGTGAACCAGAGAAAGAAAATATAATGAAGCGCAATTAGAGAGGCTCTCCACTCTCCCAAGTCCCATGACCCACACAAGATTCCAGATCATTCTCACACTCCCTGCCCTCCATTTCTTGGTAACCATTTTCTGTTTTAGTCACACTTAACAACCCATTTGCTGACTCAGCCCAATTGCTTTCCCTAAAGTGCCCTTCAAAGGTGGTATCCTATTAATATTATATTTAGAAAAATTTATATCATCAACGCTCTTTTATATGTTCCACTTATTTTCATATCTCCAAAACGCCAACTGTAAGGTTCTCTATTATTATTTTGAACCTAGAGTACTACTACGTGAAATTTACCCACTTGGAAGAAACAAACGTTAATAGTTTTTTAGATCACCTAGAAATAGTTTCAGCTCATACTTATCATGAGTAAAACATTAAAAGCTTTATTTTCTGCTTATTATATCTCTAGTATTTAATGGCAGTGTTGATCTATCTGTTATGTCACAATTCGCAGGTTATTGGTTGGTCTATGTGGTTTTCAGAGTATCTCTTCCTCGAGAGAAGTTGGGCCAAGGATGAAAGCACATTAAAGGTATGGGTTATTCAAATAAAATTCATATATATGCTGTATGCACATAAGATAAGAGATTCAATGTTATATTGGTGTCTTCTCACCCATGCACCAAGACGCAAAATTACTGTAAATTCTCTCTCTCTCTCTCTCTCTGACCAAACACCCCCCCCCCCCCTTCTCCAAAAAAATAAAAATAAAATAAAAATCCTGCTCCTGGTGCATAAGTTTTTCACTAGTTTTTATGTTGCAATATTGTATTTGCAGTCAGGCCTACAGAAACTGAGGGATTATCCTCTTCCCTTTTGGTTGGCTCTCTTCGTTGAAGGAACTCGCTTTACCCAGTCCAAACTATTAGCTGCTCAGGAGTATGCAACCTCAACTGGATTGCCTGTTCCTAGAAATGTTTTGATTCCAAGAACTAAGGTGAAATCTAAATATTTTCTGATCTTTCTGTATTTTGCTTATTCCTTCCCTTGCTTTTGGAAGTTACTCTGCATGACTGTGGTAGTCTAGCCAACTATCATGCTCAACTAATCTATGTTAGCATATTCTTGGTGGGATTTTCTTTGAAATTATATTACTTTTCTACTTCCTATAATTAGGTCGATACCACTCTACCTGTCAGGGGTGGCTAAAGGGTTTGTATCAATTTTGACTTGTAAAATGGAGGGTTAGTTCTCTGTTTGTTGATTCAGACTGGTGATCTTGTGGATTTTGTGAACTGTATGCTAGGTTATTATGGACGTTAGGTCATTGATTTATGTAATGTTTTGAGGACAACAAAAAATCTGACCTTCACGTGTAGCCTGACATAAGTTATTTAAAGTCCCCTGAGATTCATCTTTTTGGAATATGCTTCGACAGTTTTTTCAATAAAGTGGATTTGTTCCAATAGCAATTTTATTTTTGCAGTAAATTATAGACTTTTTTATTTTATAGAAAAACCTGCGCTCCTTTTTTCAAATCTAATTTAGGGTTTTTGCATTTCAAAATGTTTACTTCTTGTATTATTGGTTCTCCTGACTTTTTGACTCTTTATTGCAAATTATATGTAAATAAGAGTTATTACTTTGTCTTTTGTATCACATCATTCACAACAAAATAAATAAGAGTTCGAATATGTCTTTTGGAACATATAAGGAAATATAAAAACCAATCCTAATAGATCATCTAGGACACTCTAAACTATTTTATGATATATTCTGATACTAATCTTGGGAGAACCTCACCCCAAAAGCTAGCTCAAAGGGTGGGAGTGCTCAAAGCTTTATAAATCCCACATTAGTTGCCCATACAACCAATGTGGGACTCAAGAATATACCTTGCAAATGGGGTCGTAACATTCCACCATACTTTGTAGCCCAAGCCCGGGGTTCCATGTCCAAGGGTCCAACCCCCCGTGTTCCAATTCCAATTTGCGAAACATAGTAGGTGTTCTGATACCATTTGATAAGAACCTTGGCTAACTCAAAGGGTGGGAGTGCCTAAGGCCTTATGTAAAGAACCAATTCAACCCAAAAGCTTAAGCTATTGGGTGAGGCTACATTAATGGTTTTATATATCTCAACACGTCCCCTCACACGAGAGCTCACTGGGCTTGAAGGGTGGACAATGCACAGGCCCACATACCTGTGCAAACAAAGAAATTCCACTTGAAAGAAAGTGGGAGGCGGCGAGGATCGAACCCGGGACACGAGGCTCTGATACCATGTAAATAACCAATTCAACCCAAAAGCTTAAGCTGTTGGGTGAGGCTATATTAATGGTTTTATATATCTCAACACGCCCCCTCACATGAGAGCTCACTGGGCTTGAAGGGTGGACAATGCATAAGCCCACCTACCTGTGCTAAGAAACTCCACAAGTAAAAGTGGGGGGCGGTGAAGATCGAACCCGGGACACGAGGCTCTGATACCATGTAAAGAACCAATTCAACCCAAAAGCTTAAGCTATTGGGTGAGGCTACATTAATGGTTTTATATATCTCAACACATTATAAACCCCACATTAGTTGCCCATACAACTGATGTGGGACTCAAGTCCCGTACCTTGCAAAGGGAGTCGTAACATATTCATTATATAATAAGATATCTTCTACATATTCAAACAATTATGATGTGATACTAACTACAAAGCACTTATCCCTTCTTATGCTAATATTAGACTCCAAATCCTAATTAAGGAAATAAATAATGAAATATAAAGATATAAGGAATTTATTCCTAAGATATCATCTAATATACTTTAAACTATTCTGCTTCTCTTTGACATAAAAACCACAAGTTTCTGGTTTATCTGGATCAATTAAGGATGTTAGTTTAATTGTGATATGCATGACTACGTGTTATTGGATCATAATTGGAATAATTGGTTTGATGCTCTACCTTGGAGCAGTTTCTGATGGTTACTTCATGCTGTCCTTTGGTGTATTTGGTTGGAGAAGCATGCTTGCATCTTTACTGGTGTCTCTCTGTCGTATTTTTATGGATAGGATTGTGTTTATTCTCTCTGGTATTTTCTTGCCCATTCTTGATTTTTTTCGTGTTCTCTGATGTATTTGGTTTTTCCTGTTTGGGAAGATATTTTTTCCTCTCCATAGCTGTCCTTTCATTTTTTTCTCTCATAAAATTGTACTAAAAAAATGTTGAAGTGTCTTAATGCTACTTGGTATACTTTGTAAGTTCACATGATATTAAATCTCTCCGTTTTATTTTCCCCTCTAAATTTCCAGATATATATCGACTTGATCTTTATATTTTGCTTCCTTATTTTGGCTTCTTTGTTCTTCTAAAACCTATTCAATCTTTTACTTATATGACCTAACGGGCAGTGCTAGTCATTATTTTTAGGTATCATTGTTCTTGTCTGTTATTTGCTCTGAAATATTTACTCATTTATGTTGCTTTTCAGGGGTTTGTCGCAGCAGTAAGCCAAATGCGCTCATTTGTTCCTGCCATTTATGATGTAACGGTGGCAATTCCCAAGAGTTCACCTCCTCCTACAATGCTAAGACTGTTCAGGGGGCAACCTTCAGTGGTGAGCCAATCAAAATCGAGATTTAGGAGGGGGAAAAACTGCATCTTAGTCTATCTCCATTCTTTCTCTGACCACATGATATACAGATTACAATTTTCTATTTGTTTCTGCCAACCACTTACAAGTTTGTGATTTGATTGATTTCCCGTAGCTGGAACTGTCAATAGATCAACACTTAGGCTTTCATTAAGTTGTTTTATTTCAATGTTTCCACTAGTCTCCGACTAAAGCAATTCATGTGCAGAAAATTTAACTGCAGAAATGAAGTTTGATGCGACTAGAAATAGGAATTAGGAGGCACAAAAGGAGTGACTTCCTTGCTCAATGTGTGTCTTAATTTACAAATACTCTTCTGTGCAGGATAGTGTATATGATTGTGACTCTGGTTTTAATTCTAAGTGTAAATCGGTAATTGGTTTGGGCAAGTGGAAGCCATGAAAAAAAGCACGTCAAGATTACAGGTCTATTGCAATTGCAGTTCGATAGAATTGGTTTTCTCCTTCCCTAGGTTTTTGGTTTGGTCATGTGAGAATAATATCATTAGAGACTCTAGTAAGAAAAGAAAATCAAATAGAACATTGTTGTTTGAGGAAAAGAAAATGAGATGTGACTTAGCAATTTGGTGCATATATTTTTACTTTGAAAAATAGCAGAGCTTTTAAGGATCCATAGATTTGTAGTTAGTTGGAGTCTTGGGACCAAATGATTTTCATTGCTTCATTATGCTATTTTGCTTTTGAAAAATTTAAGGTTCATTATCCTTTAGATTTTGAAGGGATTGGATGGCTCTTTTATGTTTGCTGTTGTTTAGTTTGGTCTTCTTTATCAAAAGGATACCTTGTTTATTGACACTCTTAAATAATTTTCTTATGTTTTGTTTAATTATAAACTTAGATGCATGTGCATATTAAGCGGCATTCAATGAAGGATCTGCCAGAAGAAGATGAAGCTGTTGCTCAATGGTGTCGAGATATATTTTTGGCGAAGGTGTGTGCTAATTGAACCTTTTAAATGTTATATATTTTTTTTCTTTTTTCACACCGGGTCCCCATGTAGGTTATTATGGTTTGGTTGTCCAAGTTTTTAGTGTTGAAGGGTTTGGGTAGTCTGCATGAGATCGTAGGTTCAAACCTCAATGCCATCATTGTATCCAAAAAAATAAATGAATAATTGGTTTTGCAAAATTTCATGCACACCATGCATATTAGCAAGAATGTTTTGATAGATTTTGTCGCTTCTCTGTATAAATTCTTGTGGTTTGATTGTTTTACAATTTTGCTCTTTTTTCTCACCTTTATTCCACTTGGCACACCAGGATGCTTTGTTAGACAAACACATAGAGGACGACAAATTTAGTGATCAAGAGTTGCAGTATACTGGTCGACCAATAAAGTCTCTTCTGGTGAGATACTTTCTCTAAACATGTCAAACCTTTCAACTTCCTTATTTATCAGTTTTGTTGTGACCGAAAGGTCCCAGTTTCAAATCAATAAAATAACCTCTTTACAGAATGCTAAGATAAGACCTGTAAGTTTATAACCGTTAGTTCAAGTGATAAGGAGCTTGTTCCCCTTAACCAAAGGTCTCTTGTTTGAGCCCTGAGAATAGAGAAAATAGTCTTAATTAACTGTGCTCGAATTAGATTAGTCTGGTAATCCATGAACCGATAGATATATATAAATAAATAAAAAATGCAAGGATAAGTGGTGTCATCCACTTTTGTTGTTCCCTATTTGCATACACTATTATACTTGTTTTCACGGTCAATGATCAATTTTTTGTTGGGAGCAGGTTGTCATAACATGGGTTTGTCTGATTGGTGTGGGGTTTGTGACGTTCCTCCAAAGGTGTTCACTACTATTCTCGTGGAAGGGTGTTGCATTTTCAGCACTTGGTTTGGCAGTTATTACTCTCCTCATGCACATCTTGATCCAGTTCACACAATCTGAGCGTTCAACCAATGCTAAGGTTGCTCCTACAAAGCCCAAGAACAGGGGAGAAGACAAACAAAACTAGATCACACACGTTACCCAAATATTCTATATACAAAGATAGGACATTCTTCTGAGATGTGAATGTTAATGAACTTAGATTTGCATTATGTGTGTTTAAGGGACTGACGTAAATTGTTTTGGCTTTGAAAACTCACCTCGCCTATGCATTCAATTCTTCTTTGTATTATGTATGCATATCGATTCATTATTTTCAAATTAATTAGGATTAATTTGTAAAGATAATATTTTGAAAAGTCCTACCTAATATCGCATTTTTCTTGTGGGCGTTAATACACTTTCGAATAATGTGGCTCCTCTTAACATCTTTGGTTTATGTGCTATTCTCTGCTGTTGCATTTTGTTTTTTAATAGAGGGGAATTGTGTAAAAGGACTCGACAGTTTGTTAAGTTTATAGTTTGGCATGTCTTCGGCATGACTTGTTTAAAAATTAGAATATGCTTGGGTTCGTTAAAAGATTTTTTTAGAAATTAAGCTGTAGATTTGTTTTAAAAGGCTTGGTCTCTTAATGTCTAGGTCTAACGTGTATTTTTTAATAGAATAATATTTTATTATTTTTTATCTATTCTAAACTGCTCTCCTATGAATTAGTTATTAATTTGATTTTAAGAACGTAAGATAATAAACCTTCGAACACAATATGTTTTTTTTAATAATTTCTTCTTCTTTTTTCACTTTGTGTGGTTGAATTATATATATATATATATATGGTATAAGCCTGGGTCTTTATAAAAATGAATTATTCAAAAACTATTTCTAATTAATGTTTATTTTAATTTCTTCATTTGATTACTTACACCGATACCTTGTTCTTTATTAGTTCCCTTATCTCTTTACTAATTCATTTTTGAAAGGGAGAAAGTGTTTGTCATTTTAAATGACATAAAATTATGTCATTTTAAGAGAGATAGACACAAGATAAAAAAATTAAATTAAATTAAAAAAAAAATCACTCACTTTCTTCCCATAATTTTCATTTCTTGTATTTATCTCTCTCTTAAAATAACATAAGTTGTGTCATTTAAAATGACAAACATCAAACCCCTTTTGAAATCTTTGTTTCCTTTTTTTTTTTTTTGAGTTACCTAATCCTAATTACCTCTTTGAGGCGAATTGGCTCCTTCTGGTATCTCCACAAGCTTCGACTCTTTGAGCCGGCTATGAGACTAATCCGGAGTGCAGGGGTCAGTGATGGCTAAAGGTTCAGCCCCTTCCTCAAAAATGCATTCAGCGGGAATCGAACACATGTCCAACCTCACTAACTCTGCGCCAAGGAACCAACTGAGCTGCACGCATTGGGTTTTGTTTCCTTTTTTTTTGCACTACGCATGTCAGCATCATTTTTTTCCTCGGTTGCTTGTTACTTTCTCATGGTTATTATTATTATCATAACCATTTTCAATTAAAAAATTGTCATTATTTATTTATTATGGTTAATTATTACGACAAAAAGGCAATTGATTGGAACAAATAGATGCAAAGCGAGGAAAGTTCAGATGGAGAGTCAGCATGCGGGGGTGGTCAAGAATAGTCGTTGATGAGGAGTGATAAGATCATGAAAACAATATTTAAGGATCAATTGCAAATATCAATTGTACCAATTACAAGGTAATCGAACGAACTATGGGTGAATCCTAATAACACCAAGCCCAATTTAAACCTTAATTTGAATTTAATCAATGTCCACAGTGCAACAGAGGTTGAGTGGTTTTAGTAGTATGTTCTATTAATTTTAATAATGCCATCAATGCAATAAATACTTAGTGGGTTGATTAGCATTTTTTATATTATCAATTCAATGAGGGTTTAGTGGACTGAATAGCAATGCAATTAAGGTTTAGTGGATTAATTAGAGATTTTTTCTTTTTGTCAATTTGTCAACTTTAAATTAATGTTTTTTTCATTTATAGAGTCCTTTTCAATTCTTGGAGAGATATATTCCAAGTATAATTCAAAGATGATAGATCTCTTATAATCAAATTTTGAAGTTATAATCTCTATAAAGAGATTTCTTATCTTTGGTTCTTATCTAGAATCTAGAACTTATCAAGAATCTTAATTTTGTGGCATTCGAAGCATACTTATCACTCACAAATAATCACTCCTTTATTGAGTATGGCATTTATAATCTTTCTTATACATTTGATTCTTAACTCCAATAAATAATGAGTCAAGGTCCTTTGTCTTGTTTGAAAATATGGTTCGAGAAATGGTTCTACACTAATTTGATATTGGGTTTCACTTCTTTAAGTGAGGTTCATATCAAGAAGGCATAGGGGTGGGGGCTGAAATGCCCAACTAATGTTGATGACAACCAAGAGATGTAACACCCCGTATATATTCGATAATGTTATCATTATCGTATTAAGCTGAGCTTAATTAAAAATGCGAAATATCTTTTTCTTTTCAATTATGATGTCATTAATCATTACCAACTTGATTATTTAACCATTTTCAAAACATCGTCAGTATGCACATTGCAATAAACAGCTAACTAAAATACATCATTAATTAAATAACATAAGTATGAGTCTCTAGTCACGGAACTACAAAACGTAGACCGGACCATCAAACAGTTTATACAACTCCAACTAAAGGTACCAACCACAAAGTGACATGGACAAACCCCAAGCTCACCCAAATAAGGCAACAAGGCCCAACATCAGTCTCAACAACAGCAACATAAGCATACAAGTGCAGAAAATATAAACAGCATCCAAATCCAGCATTCACTCAGGTCAGCATAACTTACAGCAATATCATCAACTAAGCTTTGGCCTCCTGCCGCCAGAGACATCAGTCCCCATACTACCTGAACCTGAACCTGAAATAAGCATTCCCCAAACGTGGGGTGAGATCTCTAAACAAGAAATCTCAGTAAGGCAAGGGGTCCTCAAGGATCTTCCACCCCAAGCTCACTTACATGTGCAATATAAGTTTAAAAGCAGTTTATCATCATCAGTTCTAAAATAGTGCAATGTAGCAGATAATCATGTCATGTGTGTCAATACTATTCTACTGGCCAGAGAAATGCAGGATTTATATACGCCAAATACCCACACATAGTGCAAGACGCCACTTGCATCCACCCCGGATCACCGTCTTGTATGACGTCACATACTCAGGCTTACCGTCAAGATGGAACAACACATGCATATTAAAAGTCATTACACATAAAGCTCAACAGAATTTCAAATATTCAAAGCATGTAACACAGCATGCATATAACCATACCCCCATGGGACATGGTGGAACCACAACATGGCTAAACCGAGGACACAAAAGCTTACCTCTTAAGCAATCAATCCAAGTCAAGTCCACATAAGCTCAATGTCCAAACACAGCAGATCACAATCTGATTTAGGACCAGCAATGTAACACCCCGTATATATCCGGTAATGTTATCATACTATCGTGTTAAGCTGCGCTTAATTAAAAATGCGGAATATCTTTTTCTTTTCAATTATGAAGTCATTATCATTACCAACTTGCTTATTAATCAATTAATAAAACCGCTTGTATGCAATTGTAATAAAACAGCTAACTGAAATACCTCATTAATTAAAATAACATAATGTATGTCTCTAGTGACGGAACTACAACACGTAGACCGGACCACTAGCAATTTATACAACTCGACTCAAAAGTACTAACAACATAGTGGCATGGACAACTCCCATGCTCACCCAAATAAGGCAACAAAGCCCAACATAAGTCTCAACTTAAAACATAAAGAGCAGAAAACATAAACAGCATCCAATCCAGTCATGTCAGCAATACAACATAAATATCATAATCAGCTAAGCTCTGGCCTCCTGCCGCCAGAGGCATCAGTCACCATACTACCTGAACCTGAAATAAGCATTCCCCAAACGTGGGGTGAGATCTCTAAACAAGAAATCTCAATAAGGCAAGGGGTCCTCAAGGATCTTCCACCCCAAGCTCACTTACATGTGCAATATAAGTTTAAAAACAGTTTATCATCATCAGTTCTAAAATAGTGCAATGCAGCAGATAATCATGTCATGTGTGTCAATAGTATTCTACTGACCAGAGAAATGTAGGATTTATATACGTCTAACACCCACAAATAGTGCAAGATGCTACTTGCATCCACCCCGGATCACCGTCTTGTATGACGCTACATACTCAGGCTTACCGTCAAGATGGAACAACACATGCATATTAAAAGCCATTACACATAAAGCTCAACAACATTTCAAATATCCAAAGCATGTAACACAGCATGCATATAACCAAACCCCCATGGGACATGGTGGAACCACAACATGGCTAAACCGAGGACATGAAAGCTTACCTTGCAAGCTAACACCCAAAGCCAAGAGTCCACAGCTCAAAGTCCAAACACAGCAGATTCACAATCTGTTATGGACCAATAATAAATCAATAAACATGCACCGCAAGCATACAATATTAAGACAACACATTTTCATTACGTTTTACGTCTTGAGGCTTCTCACCAAGCCATAAGCCCTTAATCACATTATTCTGACTTACATTAATTAATTACAAAAGTTCAACTTCCTCAAACTAGGGTCCACAAACCCATAGATCAGTTCTGGATGAACAGTACGCTACTGTTCCTCGCAAACCAAGAATATCCGGATATTCCTCGGGGATATATCCAGATATGCAATATCCGGATATCTCACAGGCAATATCCAGATAACCAATATCCAGATATCACTCTGGCAATATCCGGATATTCCACGGGCAATATCCGGATATTTTGCAACATAATGCAGTTTCTGCATTTCGCGAATATATCCTTCCAAGGTTCCATTTTTAATACTTCCAGAAGCTTAAACATGCATCTTAAGGTTTATTTATGTTCATATGACATTTGGTTACTTGTTTAATTCATTAAACATGCCAAGACTTCATCTTTAAGCAACAAAACTCAAGACCAAGGTTGGTACAACTAACCACAGCTAAAACTCAGCAAAATGGGTGCTCTTGGAGCTCACACAACAGCTCCAAGGTACTAACTTCAAGGGTGCACGAAAATGCTACCAAAGTTTGGCCCTTTCCTCACAAAGGAAGCTTCTTGAAGCTTCACAAGCCAAGAGCAAAATGGCTCTCACCCAAACTCCAAACTCAGCACTCAAACTGACCTCACACAGTGGCCAACAACTCAGAAGATGCACTCTCACACCCTTACAATGATAGCCCTCAAGTGTTTACCAAGTAAAAGAGGAGAAACCAAGTGAAAGATGGCCACTTGGCTAACAAATGGAGAAGAA